CCTAACTCTCCGGAAATTACATCACTGCCTCCGGACTGAAGGTCTGAAGACAGCGATGTAGTTTCCGGAGGGTTAGGATGACCAAAAAGATTTCGGGTAATGAGCAGGTGTTCCAGAAATTATGAAAATAGCTGTAATACGAAGTTCAAAATATCCACGTCCCATGGATACTAGAAAAAAAAATAATAGCTAGTTAGATAATATAAACTTTTTGGATCATTTTGAAAATAACCGTCCATTCGTCACGTTATTAATAATTTTAGATACTCAACATTGTAAAAATGGATGATTGTTTTTTAGGAATAGTATAGTATTTAGGGGTTACAAATTTTTATTTCTTATAAATTCGTATCATGTTGTGTAAATTAACGATTATTCCATTCTAAGAGATAGAATAAACACTAGCATTTCCAGAAAGGCTACATATGATTGATTAATTAATTATGTACATAAAAATCATACATACACGCATTATCATTAGCATATGAACAAATTATCAATTGATTCATTATGAAATGGAATGATCGCTTCAGCAATAGGGCAATAATATTTAATACCATTTTCGTTTAATAGACCATGGAGTATGAAACGATCACCTATAACAATAAGTAATCTATGAATAAGATCAAAGCATCAAAATGACTTCGAGTATCATAACTTACCGGCAATATTTATTCCAAATGCAATATAGTGCCTGTGCAACTGATCTTTAATAGCTTTCTTTCCCATCTCTTCGTATCCACATAAACAAAGCTTTACCAACTTATTATGATTTTCCCGTCTCTTTTTGTCATTACAATTCCATTTTCCACTCTCTATGTATACTATCTCTTTCTGCTTATTCTTAACAAATGCCCGTATCATTAAATCGGGCTTATCCCCCTTGATCCTATATTTTCCAGAATTTTATAATTCTTGGAAGCAACACTTTGCCGTTCATTTCTGGTTACTTCCACTTCATACTCAATTGGTAACCGGTGCAAGGATGCTTCAATTAAATGCGCTACAGCCTCTACTAACGTATTTTCTGACCCGTATGTAACTTTACTAAGCACCTTTGATTTTATTTTTTGTAAAAGAACATCAGTAATGTCTTTCATAACTACTTCCCTAGCACTCTCCTGCTCAACCCAGCGATCGTGCACTACCTCCTCAGAATGCAACAATACTAATCTATAAAGTTGCTGGAAAAAACTATCTCTATTTGCCACAAATTCAGAACATACTTTCCTTATTGAAGCATCCTTACCCAGCCTTTTTATAGAATTTTTTTCACCTAAAAGAACAGCAAGGTCGTCTTCCACTGATTGATACCGGTCGGAGCCCAAATCGATTACACCATTAATTAACGGGTCATCACAAGACAAATCATTAACACCTATTTTACTTATATTTTCTGATAAAGACGTGCATGTACTGTAGATGTGTATTAGATGAGTCCTCGCTGCACTTCGAACAATTAGGCGATTATGTATTATAACTTGTGTCACCATCAGGTTTTTAAGGGTAAATAATAGATTATAATCCAAAAAGCCCGAAGTCTCATTTTCCATTGGCAGAATTTGATTACAGCTATGTCATTACAGACTCATTACAGCCGTTATTATAAATCCTGGAGAATTGAAAACTTTCCGATGACAGAATCAATGAAATTGAGTCGAAATCAATAAGTTATCAAATCAAACAGATATAATCCTGGAAAATTGTCTAAACCGAATCGATAAGTTATCAAACTAGAATCAATAAGTTCAGAAACTTATTGATTCGGTTATCTCCGAATTTGTGTTAATGGCTAGTTGTAATCAGTATGCTGAACACCCAATGAAATATACAAATAAAGTAATGTGTAAAGAAAACTTCGTTTTTAATTATGTGGCGATGGCGACAAATTTCAAATTACTGTATGTGATATGATAACACATACCGGGACTGAATTAACCGGGCCGGACCAATCCGACCCTTACACGTATTTTTTTCGAAACTTATATATTTTTTTCGTCAACTTTAGCAGAAAATTTTGAATACAATCACGAGTTAGTTATGGTAAAAAAAAAAAAAAAAGGTCAATATTAATCAGTAGTGGATGAACGAAAATTACTTTCGTGCCCATGATTAATTCCAGCCAATCAAATAATAGCATATCAGTCACGTGATAACAGATATAATAAGATTAGGGATTTTAGGTAGCGCACCCACAAAAATTTTCCTACCCCCGTAATTTATAAAACCGCGTTATAATTAGGGTTAGAGCAAGAACAGTGTAAGGTTAAGGTTAGAGTTAGGGTTACTGCTATTGGTAAAATTTCACAAGGAACATTTATAATTAGGCCGCAGAAGGTGGTTTCTTAATTAAAATTTCGAGTTATTTCAGTTTATTTGTAAAAAATGGTTTCGCTTTGTTTGTTTACATTACACCTGAACTTGAAATTTTATTGGCCAAAAATCACGGGAGGGGAAAATTTTTGTGGGTGCGCTACCTGAAAGCGCTTGGGGGTTAGATAAAGGTGGCTAATATTTCCACACCCCTGTAAATCACTTTTTTTCAAAAATTTGATTTGAACTTTTTTTTTATTTGAATTCTATGGGTTTATAGAATTCAAATCGTGGCTTACATTTTGACAGACGTTTAAATTTTTTCTGAAACTTTAATCGAGATATCTCGACAATTACCTAATAAAATTTGATGAGCTTTTTTTTATTTGAATTCTATGGTTTCGTAAAATTCGAATAAAAATAAGCTCATCAAATTTCATTGGGTAGTTGTCGAGATATCTTTGATCAATTTTTATCGTGGCTTACATTTTGATAAACGTTTAAATTTTTTCTGAAACTTTAATCGAGATATCTCGACAACTATCTAATAAAATTCGATGAACTTTTTTTGATTTGAATTCTATGGTTTTCGTAGAATTCAAAAGCTCATCGAATTTAATTGGGTAATTGTCGAGATAACTCGATCAGAATTAGGCAAATTTTTATTGTGGCTTACGTTTAAATTTTTTCTGAAACTTTAATCGAAGATATCTCGATAACTACCTAATGAAATTCGATGAACTTTTTTTACTTGAATTCTATGGTCTCGTAAATTAAATAAAAAAAGCTCATCAAATTTTATTAGGTAGTTGTCGAGATATCTTCGATTAAAAGTTTCAGAAAAAATTTAAAATATAAGCCACGATAAAAATTGACAGATTTTGATCAAAGATATCTAGACAACTACCCAATGAAATTCGATGCATTTTTTTATTTGTATTCATTGAATTGTTGAGGTATCTTAGATTAAATTTCAAAAGAATTTTAAACGTCCATTAAAATTTAAGCCACGATAAAAATTTACCTAACTTTGATCAAAGATATCTCGACATTAAAGCATAGAATTCAAATAAAAAAAGTTCATCGAATTTCATTGAGTGGTTGTTGAAATAACTTCGACCAACCTTTTAAAAAAGTGGTGGAATAACGATTTAGTTTAATCGGATGCACGTCACGTGATAGGAGCAGATATGGCATCTTGCTCAAGCTGTTGAGTCAGGTTACGCCTGACGCCGTGGCCTACCACCCTTGAGCTCCGTTCTGAGCTCATTATATAATCAATCAACTGTTAACTCTTGTTATCAAATGTTTAATTTTTTGTAGGAGGAAAGGAGATTTGAGACACCAATAATTTTCGTAGAATGGATGATTTAAAACACATGATCTGAAAGTGATAATTTCGAGATTTAGCTGTAAACTGCGTAAACTGTGTGCGTACGTACGTACATACAATAGCGGATAATGGCTGTGCAGTAACATGTGAAAAAATCAAAGCGACAAATCGAACGCAAGATTTTAGCTACCCTATATAACCCCTATAATTCATACACTTTATTATTGCATCACTATATTTCTATGTACACCTCATTGTACGCTTCATTATTTCATCAAACGTTTCTTTTAAAAACCCTACAAAATTCAAGTAATTAGGATTGGTTATTTGGCTAATGTTAATCATATGGGCTGCCGTCAATAGAAATAAGGCAGATTGACATTTTAAAAAAAAATTAATACCTTAACTTTCACAGTTCGTATCTCAATGAATT